GGCCAGATGTGCTGAGCTCGGAAGGGTTTAGCTCGGGCCTGCCCACTTTGACGGACCTGGTGTGAGGGAGAAGGCTGCCTCCCAGACGACCAGTGCACAGGGGCGAGAAGGCCCTTGGGAAGCTGGCACCATGGAGGCACAGGTACAGGGGGATTGGCAGGAGAGGGTGGGAGGTGTGAATGGTTAGCTGCCGCAGGCCCCGAGTCCTCTCCCGGGGCACGTGCAGCGCACACCCCTCTGCTCTCCTTGTTCAGGACGTGTGGGCTGTCTCCGTCTCTGTGACTCTGCTCTCGTGTTCCGTTGCACCTTCTGCAGTCCAGAGGCACCTCCTCCACGAGCCCCCCGGCTCTTTCCAACCACAGGCTCTTCTGAGAGACCGAGGCCACGTCTGTCCTCCCTCTGCCCCTGGTTGTCTGTCTTTCCTCCCAGTCGGCACAGCTCACGCGGGATAGGACTCTAGGTCGTGTCTCAGTGCATCTCAGCTCCCAGCTCATGCCTGGTGTGTAGTAGTGCTCAGGAGACTGGGTGTAGGAGGCGGTCACGGGACCAGGAAGGGAAATGCTGTGCAGCCACTTCAGTCCCGAGTGACTGCTAGTCCTCTGACACAGTGCCCTGGTCTCACAGCAGCCTCCATGCAGAGCATGTCGACCCGAAACCCTGGTCATGCAGCCACCTGCCAGACCCGGCAGCAACCCCTGTTCTGGGAAAACCACTCGAGCTTTTTGTTTTGTTTTGTTTTGTTTTTTCTTTAAGTCTATTCATTCATTTCTTCCATGAGAGAAAGAAACACCCCCAGCAGGCCATGGTCCACCCCAGCCTCCTCCAGTTCACATCAGAGGCACACGCACGTGTATTCAAGGGCCTTAGGTTGCGAACCCAGGATCCTCCTGTGTGAGCCCAGCGCTGCAGAGCGTGCGTCATCACTGCGCCTCTGGTCAGCCCCTGGAAGGTTTTTGGGTGCAGCCTCCAGAGGCCGACACAGCTTCTTCGTACTGGACAGACAGTACCTTCTTTCCCCTGAGCCGTGGGCAGCGGGGACATGAGACCAAATCTGATGCATCCTTAGTTCTCTAGAATCCAGAAGCTCCTCGCCCAGCCACCGTGCTGTCAGCACCGGGCAGCAAGGACGATGGTGACAGCACTGCTCAGCACGTTTGTCTCTGCAGCCACCGTGTGATGAGACTCAGCGGTTACAGGGCTGGACTGAGGTCACAGCAGGAGGGCAGAGGAGTGAGGCTGGCAGGCTTTATGTCAGCCTGAGCCACGCACAAAGGCAGAGGAGGGCTTCTAAGCGGGGGTGGGGTGTTGAGGGGAGTGGGAGGGCAGGGACAGGGGGGTCTTGAGGGCCCAAAAGCTCGGTGGCTCCGGAGGGGAGTAACAGATGATCTTCCTAG